GAACCCACCAGTTTCACAAGTTGACTTTCCTCCATAAGACGGCACTGCTTATGAACAGATGCCGGCCTCACGGGGATCATCATCCAAAAACATAGCTCTGCAACCAACTCATGGTTAGTGGTACAGCGCATGCGAGCGTATCTGTAGAAAGGCTGCTGCGTGTAGCCATCAGAGTCTAAGAGTCTACTCATGTGTTCCGAAAAACGCCGTGAAAAATCTTCTGTTTGACCCACATACAAAAGTGTACCATGCCGCCCCTTTCTCAAAGGGAACGGGAAAATCCAATACAAGCATGGGCTGCGCCACAGAGCCTGCCATCCGCTTTCCCACGGGGCGCGGCCGATCAGACTCAACAGGTACGAACCGCGTCGTGTGGCATGCGACTGTAGAAACATAAGCCACAAACTGCCGGCAAGCATGAGAAGGTCAGACATGTCATTCCACTTCCCTTTGCCAGTTTGCAAAACACGAAACTTTAGCAACAGAACCACTTCCAGAGCCCCTTTCAATGCCCTCGAAATGCCTAACTCCGCAGTTCCACGCTCGACTCACAGAGGCTTCTTCATGATATCAATCGCACGCAATCGGGCAAGTAGCTGAGGTAAGGAATCGTCCCGCTCAATGTTTAGAGCCTCACACAACTTCTTCAAAGCAGTAGCCTCTTTTGATCTGGAGGTGAGGCTCGAGATTTGGCGCTCAAGTTTACGGAGGTAGATGCGGTAGATGTCGTTGTACAGGTCACTCATAGCTTGCAAAGGAGTCAAAGTACTCAAAGCTTTCGACGCGGGACACTTGCGCGAGAACTTATGGACCCTGGTTTCCAACTCAAAGTTCGAGAAGTTGATGTTCGAAGTGTCGACGTCAACCTTCCTTTTCACCCAGTCCACATAGTCCTCCTGAACCTCACTTGATTTTTCCACGATCTGTTCAGGCGAAGCTTCCGCTAGACGACGCAATGCATCTCGACTATTGGTGTCAACATGTGGTGCCGGTTTCTGCTCATGCGACGGGCTACCAGCGCACAAATCACCACTAGCCCACTCAATGTCCTGAGAGCTGGAGCTGCCATGGTTTGGGCGAGGTTTTTCAGGACATCCATCCAAATACTTGAGGACAGCTTTCCACTTCGTGCTATCTGTAGTAGACAACGGCAGGCGATGAAACACATCCCCAAAAATGCCTTTCATTCACCCTACTCATTGGAACAATCTTTGTACTATCCTCGTCATAGAAGGCAGCCGACTGCGGAGTTGCAAGATGACGCAAACGCTCACGACGAAGAGTGTTGATGCGCGAGCACATCGCCATCCTTTGGTCCTTGTCCTGGATCGACTTTATGGCAGTAATCACATCATCGGGGGCAAGGTAAGCCACATCACGCAACCCCGGTGGAAGACTGTAGAACACTGTCTTGAAGTCACCTGGAGGAAGCTGAGCCAACAATCTAGCCACTTCATCGGTGCGGGGAGCGGGTTCACGACTGCGTGACCTATCAATCCTTTCATGGTGTGAAAAATCATGACTCAATCCACTTGGGGCCCACATACC